TCTCTTGGACGTGCGGGACCGTGAGGCTGCCTGCCGCACGCGCACCGCCGCCGCCCGCACCACTGTGTCTCTTATCACCCCGAGGTAAGAGCTATATTCCTTTGACAATGTTGATCTTGAGCTCTCTTGGACGTGCGGGACCGTGAGGCTGCCTGCCGCAAGCGCACCGCCGCCGCCCGCACCACTGTGTCTCTTATCACCCCGAAGTAAGAGCTATATTCCTTTGACAATAACGACCTTGATCTCTGTTTCTGTTGCCCTGAGTTAGTCCAGACATCAAGCTAGACCTATATCCCGAAGGTTTTCACGCCGGGTAGTACTAACAGTGTCAAGCGTCTAGACTTGCGTCTCTTAACACCCCGAAGTAAGAGCTATATTCCTATGACAATGTCGATCTCGATCTCTACTTCTACGGCCATAATGACTACATTATCGATCTCAAACTCTGCTTCTTTAGCCCTGCGTCTGTCCAGGCCTAATACCCAAAGGTTCTTCAAGCAGAATGGATGAATGATTCATCTTCTGAGACAGACGTTCCTTAGCTCTAACTCTGGCGCTACTATAATATGGTCATCACCACTTTGGGCACAGATCACGAGATTTTTCCAGAAAAGTTCTACCTACAATAGATAGTACAGCCCACGGAGTGCTGCTACCTCTAACACATAAATGTTTTTCTAACTTAGCATGGATTTGATTAACAGTAAAACCAGGCCTGTTCATCTCCGCGAGTTTGCATCGAAAACAAAACACGCGCGACTACCCCTCCTGAGGTACCTAATCGACAGGACAATCACGAGCGAGTATTGACGCACGCACGTATTCTTCACCCATTTGCATTGTAAAGACAATAAACAATTTGTAAAAACGATGGTGTAATTAATACTCTGCAGTATTTTTAATTGCCTGAATAATATTAGAAACACAAAATATAATTCAATATTATTCATGTATTTCCTCCGCCATTTTCCGCAGTTTGGCACCTCATGTCACACATCATTTTACCGAAGTCAGCCCTATGTCTTCGGCGCAGTACCGATCACTGACGTTTGTCAACAAAATGGTGCTCGACTCTTGAGACAAGCTAAATTACACCATATTGTTAACGACATTGAGCATTTTTTTTTTAAATACCTTCGCGAAGAAAATCTTCTGTACGAAGTACTTATTATTATTCTGTGGTAAAACTATCCCTCAGGGCTAAGTTAGCCTGATGCTGATGGAGTTGTGGTGCAAGCGCATATCAAGATTCATCCCTTTTTGTTGAATCTTTCTACAATATATTTTTCCCATCAGGAAATCGAGATCCTATCGTGTGGCCGTGGATACCGCATCGAGCCCATGTTCGCGACAGTGGCGGCTCTGGTGGTGCAGGTGTTGCTCAGGACGTGACTGCGGCAACAGTAACTCCCTTGCCACCCCGACCGACGGCGGTCACACGCGACCCACGCACAGCTTTCTACCCTCAACATGGTCGTTAAAACTCAAAATCCCAGAAAGCTTGCAAGGTCGCCTTCGGAAGTGTTCGTTTAAGTAATTTGGACAGAATGTGTGAACTGTTAAGTGGCCGGCGCGCTCCGCCCGGCCTGTGTTTATATGTCTACGCGAGGGTTATAAAGAGTTTTGATCAATTTTACCGACTGAAGTTTTGGTCCGACCAAATGAACTTTGATCTTGTTTTGAGACAGGATTTATCTATTCGAATTAGGATACGATAACTAAAATATTTTCCCCTCTCTGTTAAGTTATCACGTTTCATATTGTAACTAATGCAGACGCATACAGTAAATAGGTAGGTAACGAATATCTTGTTAAATTTAAATTGAGGATTATCACAAACTTGGGAGATCTCATAAATTATAGCTAATGTTAATTAGGTATTGAAAGATGATGTAAAGATATCGTTTGAAACTGTTTTAGAAAAATTTACCTATGTTGAATCTAACTCGATTTGTTTCTTATATCTCATTCAAATTAATCGCAATCTTATTGGATAGTTGCATAGTGTTGATGTAAATAAGAAATGTTATGTTACTAGGCGTTTATTTTGCTGAATTTATGTGTGCCTGTGTAATTATTATATCGTGAGTCGTCGAGGCGGCGCCGCGGTGGTCCCGCGACTGCGCCGCATTGGGTAAGTTGGCATAAATTTTGGCGGACAATAATTGCGTACTTATACAATAATGAAAAGACAAGTCAAAGTCAATAAAATAATGCACCCGACGGTTTAGTCAAATATTTAAGTAATATTAATAGTATAATATCGAATAAAGCAATTTATTTTCTAGATAACGTTTGTTGTAAGCGCGACCGCGACGCCGCGCTCGGTTGATGTCTAGTCGTTAGTGTTTCTTCTCGCCTAATCTTCGAGTAATGTCGTATTGAAGGAACTGTAAACAGTTTCGTATTTATATTGTAAATATTTTACTAACTTTAAATGGCCTATTACGATTTTAAGAACGTGTGTTGCTAATTTTTTTAAGTCGTTCGATTCGACTTTGTGGTAAAAAAAACTACGTCATATCGACCTATCACAATAATTATATTTTGCATATCATAATTCTTGGATTATGCTACCTGGAGACACTAATATCATTCTTTCATACGTAAATTCGAAATTTCGCGTATTATGAGAGTAAGCGTATGTAATAACTCGTTTGTACCTAACCTAAATGTGAATGTTACATAGGAATAAAGTTCAGATCCATATACTAACATTAATAGGATTTTTATATTATATCATATCGAATAGTCATATTGTACACAGGCTTGCTATTGTCCGTAATGATCATATCATTTTATAATTATGGCAACCCTTTGAAATAGTACAAAAGTGTTAAAATAGTTACTGTTGACCGATGTTGAGTGCCAAAGTTGCAAGCTCGTGTTAATTTTGTTTCCGACTCAAGCGCATTTTATTCGACGGGACCGATATTACGTGATACATGTTTGCTACGCGGGACAATAGCAAGCTGGCGAAACTCGAGGTAGTAGAATGCAGTAATCTCAAAAAGTTGCTTACCCACTGACCCTCATTTTCTGAGCTAGATAATAATTTACAGCTTGACGTCTTTTTGACTGTATGAAAGAAAAAGCTTGGAGAGAAAGATTTGGAGAGATAGCACAAATGAATGTTATATTCAATGAAGCATTAAAAGTTTTATATAGACTCCCAGGAGAAATGTAATACGTTAATGTGTTCTATGTAATTTATTCATAGCTAGATAGAATATTTAACTTTATTTAGGTCATACAGATAGTAATGCGAGTTACATTTTGAGATTACTGAAACGAAAAAACATAGTAGCAGATCATCGAATCGTAATCCATATCGTGACATAATCACAAACTGTAACGTATTATTGGGGAGCGCTTTTGAGAAATTGTACATTTTGTATAAATAATACAGTAAGGAGTCGATATATGGGCGTAGAGATTGTTTTATCTGGTGAGTGGCGAGCGACTGGTGTATTGAAAGTGCTTCTAGTGAGGATTCCGTCAACTGGGACCGCAATTAACTGGGACCGCGGTCCCAGTCGCCGGATGCGTAAAAATTAAATAATTTTCTTCCGGTGACTTCATGGATTTTAGTACTGTACCGATTTTGGATTGAATAATATTTTCTTTAAAGTTATCTATGAGTGGTCCCAGTCGCCGGAAGAAAATTATTTAATTTTTACGCATCCGGCGACTGGGACCGCGGTCCCAGTTAATTGCGGTCCCAGTCGTCGGAAGCCTCCTTCTAGTAAGCGTCGAGTCTTCCATAGCAGTCGGTAACGCCGGGCGAGTGTTTATGTAACGTCTAAGTATTAAATGATAATAATAGCGTATACCTAACTAGAATAGGCGGAGCTCGCGTCTCGTGCGGTGCGCAGGCGTATTGACTATCACTCGCGGGTTTAGTTCTACGTAAACTGATAGACACAAAACAAATACCTCGTTTAGTTACTCAAAGTGTAATAGCTAGACAGAATTAGCGTTTATTTCGCGTTTAGTTCTTGGACATATCAATTCAGGCACCAAATGAGACTATAGCGTAAGCGGTTTTTAAATTTTTTCGATTGTGATCTTTTGTGTAATTAAATATACGTGCCTTAGGAGACGAGCGCGGTGCGCACACGCGACCGCGCCCGTCCCCGAGGCAGCTAGGTTCGATATGCAATAAGTTTATAAGTGGAGGAACAGTGATCTCTAAATCTTTGCCATATTACTTGTCGGTGTATGTACATTTTTCTATGAAATGAAAGTATATAAATCGGTTATCTCGTGTAATGAATTCCATTTTCGATCATTCCCTTGTTAAAGCTTTTTAGGAGTATATTCAAAATTTATACGAGTACATTTGAGATTATGTGGAATGCAATTTCGAAGTCACTGATTTCATGTTGTTTTTGTTATACTTTGTTGGGAATAGTTATTCATTGGGCACGGCCGACTCTGTGAACATGGTTCTCTAGCGTAATTATAGTAAATATTCTTTTTGTTACTTGCCAGTTCATGCTATAGATATACCGTAATTACAACAATAAAGTTCTCTTATAACATTGTGGAAATGTCTTTTACTATTGTCTTATGTAAATAATTTTATTCTATGTAAGTAAATAGTGTAGAAAATTGTGAAATTGCAACATTTCTCGCTGTTCAAATGGCGGCCATGAAATTGGAAGAAACAATACTTGGCAACCCTATGGAAGACCTAGTTTGGGACCCTGTGGAAGGCCTACTTTGGGTAGTTTGGGTTTACTAGATTCAAATGGTCCAGATTCCAGAACCCAAGCCGACTACATACTTAAAGATAAGGTATAGTATTTCACGTCCATAAGACCACTTTCAGATGATGAGCGCTGAACGCGCGTTTTGCTATGTGCACGCGTTCGCGTGTGTAGGTACTTCGAGAATAAAATACAAGCAAAACGCGCATTGAGCGCTCATCATTTAAACGTGGCCTAAATTTAAATAAAAGCCGCAAGTGTAATATAAATGATATATTAAAGGTCTCACTACATGTACAGACTGGCGGCGAAGACGATGTCTCTCTTCAGCAGCTTGATGGCGTCGCTAAACTTGTTCTCTAGGTCGGTGTTGCCGATGTTCTTGGCGGCTTGGCACAGCTGCCGTAGGACTTCTTCTAGGCGACGCATGCAGCGGATTATTGAACCTGGAAAGGCATTGATTTTCCTCAAGATACAGCACAATTGAATGGTAAAATTGTTTCATTATTTCCAACGTTTGGTTCCATAACAAGCAGCTCCTTGGTCTAGTGACGAAAACCTCTAAGGCACGAGTTTCAACGTTTAAATGAGACTAACGTGGCCAGTTTGGTTAGAAACATCAGAGTTGGAGAACTATATTGCTTGAATTGCTTCATCAACATATGATTATTACGAAATTGGCCGCTACTTATAATAATCAAAAAGCATCCTCTCTAAAGATATCGAAGTCTTGGCCAGATTCCGTGTCACTGATTTCTCATCATCTTACCTCAAATCATTTTAATTGAACACAAATCGAAAAACAAAAAAGAGCATAATATTTTGTATTTCTTCAGTTCCTTGTGTTTAATAAAAAGTGAATTATCTATCTGACAGGAAAAAATAAATCAAAGCTTTGCCTACCCTCAAACACGTCGGTCATCTTGCAGATCTGCAGGAAGGAGGCGCCCTTAGACCAGGCGAGTACTACGTCCATGAGCGTCCACTTGAACTTGCTGACGTAGTTATCCTCGTCGAGGTCCATCTTCGCGTCGATCGACACCTTCGCTATTCGGCGCGCGTATTCCTAGAAATAATCGATATTGTATAATCAAGAGCTACCTGAAGACGTCATAGTCCACTGTGGCATGGCATACACATTCTACGGGAAAGTTGCATTTTGATAGCTCATAAAAAGTATATCAATTGCCTATGCCAGAGACTATGGTATGGTATACCTTCGGTAGTAGATACTACCGAAGGTGTGCACGAAAAGCGATTCTCCGCCATCCCGAAATAGAGGCCTGATTCAAACACACGAAGGCTAAACTTAGCGCATGGTGCTGTTTCATATTCACTAAAGAATCTCACATTACCTGCTGTAGTGAAAAGGATGTTATCCACTACCCTGAAACATATAAAGTCCGGACGCCGAGCAGATAGAATTTCGTACAATAACCCCAAGCTACCTATCCTTATCGCACGCGCGTAATTATATTTCGGTCGCGCTCGCACACTCACTGTGCGACGGGCGGCCTGCTATCTGCTCGGTGACCGGACTTTAGCAAACAGCTAGACTTGAAAGAAAATGTTTACCTGCAGCTGATTGCCGGTGGTAGTATTTTGTATCAGTCCGTTGACAACGCCTTTGAATATGAGCGCGGTAAGGGTTAGCTCGTCTGCTCTGATAACGTTAAAAAACCTCCTCGCAAATGTTTAATAGCGTGGGGACATCTATCGACTCGCCACTACAAACTGGTGGCAGATTTCACTCAACAGATGGCGGTGATACAAACTTACTATGGCACACTTCTCCGCGTCTAAAAACCTGCATCGCGGTAGTGGTATTTCCTTATTCTAGTGATCGGTCTCCGTTTCCACAACAGCAAACTAAGTTTACCTGCAGTTGCCTAAGCACGCCTCGCATCTCTTCGCCGGTGGTGGAGTTCTGCGAGGAGTTCTCGTCGCACACAAAACAGCTGACCAACGCCGCGCTTTGTTCCGACGACAGCGCGTTGAACACGCCGTTGAATATCAGCTCGGTTAGGAGTAGCTCGTCCGCACTGGTTAGAAAAAAGTTTGAGAGGTTAATAAAACAATAAAAGACTGGTGATGAATGGCTTAAGCCGCTCGTATAAACTTTTACTGGCCAGTATTAACGACACTTAAAATAAAAGTATAGTCAAGAAAAGATTAAGGCCTGTCAACAACATCAGATTTGGTGTCCACTGCAGGAGAACGACTTTTTACCAGAAGCAAATGAAGGATTTTACTTTCATGCGTGTATTGGTAGTAATGTCACACTTCAACCAATCGCTGGCTTTCAACTATGCGAGCCGACAACTTGGTATAGCTATTCAATATAGCATTGGTAAAAATTGGCAGGATGGCGAGGACGATGAAAGATATCGATAGGTAAAAAAACTTGATTTGACACATTTTTATTCGTATGAATCCTTCAATCGACTCGATTCTTTAATCAATGAACGAGTTTATAGTTGCAAATGCAAAATTATGTACCAAAAATAAAAATGCAAAATTACCTGCTCAATTCACAAGCTATCCGACCCTTCATCTCTATGACGTCAGCAGTGGTGCAGTACCCCAGTCGCCTGAGCACTCGTTTTCTCTTCTTCAGCTCATCCATTTGCAGTATGCTCTTGGCTTTCCTTAGTTCGGACTTCACTTGGTTCAATTCTTCTAATAGTTCCTGTTTCTTCTCGTAGGAAGCCGTTAGGGCTCCGCGATTTTTGTCAACGTGGAGAGGGTGTGCGTAAAGTCTAGAAACAATGATCATCTGCTATTGAAATGTCTACCTTAAATCCTCAAGTTTATGGACGAAAATAGCCCAATGGATTGGGTGTCAGACTGCCAATTCGAGAGAATTCGATCTCTGCCGAACGCTCAACTATTTTATTAAACCCACTGCTAAGACAAACATAATTATATTTAGCTGGAAGGGTTTGTTTTAAAACATGATAAGATACAAAGGCTTTCGGCTGAAACGACGAAGATACAAAGTTCATAATGTTGTCATGGAGAATGAGTAAGGCCCAGAACGCGACCAGTTTGAAACGTCGTCATGTGTGGTCTCTCAACGGAATCTATGGCAGAAACTTAGATGCAACTCAAAAGTAACTAGTTGCAGTTTCGTTGCAGTTGTGTATCACCGTGTGTTCTGGGACTAAGGAATAAATCTACTCACCTTTCTTCCAGCTTTTCTATTCTGTCAACACACTCTTTGAACACTTTGTCCTCTATCTTCATGTCTTTGATCGGGTTTAGCAGCGGGGGTCCCTCAGGGAACCTTTTCTTCACTTCCCCTATGGTCTTTAGTACCGACTTGCGGCTGTCGGGAGGTCGCAAGTCCTTAGGATAGTACACGCGAAGCGAACTGATCTGGTAGATCAGGGTGTGAAGAACCGGCACAACTTCTACGTCACCTGACTGGAATAATAATAAAGCAACTATAGTCATGGAAAGTATGTACGTTCATAAAAATGAATTAGGCTGAGATGCACCACCTAACTTTAACGGTAACTCTGTAACGATAATTGTATGGAGTTTGACAGATTTTTGACGTTTGTTAATATCAAAGTAAGATGGTGCAACCCAGCCGTAGTCTAAAGATTTTTAAAGTTATCAGAGCTATTATTTCTATAGAGGAAATCGAAACACGAATTTTAGATTTAAAGTATGATTTTTAAATATTCATATTGACCAATAAAACATTCGCTTGATAAATCTACAATACAACCGCTAGTGAATGGACCGACAACCTCAAGAAGACAGCTGGCAGCAGCTAATTAAAAAGCTGAAGGTCGTTCTTTATGACTTTTGCTGTGGGATTACGTCCATGGGAGGCTTACATCAAATATTATACTGTATTGGCTGAAATGATGTTATAGAATGATGGAGGGGTCTTTACCTCACCAGGAGGGCAGGGCACGTTGGTATCGATCTCGTCTCCTACAGCTTTTTTCACGTGCAGCAGTATGTCCACTACGATAGCTGGCTCTGCGGTCAGTGGGTTCTGATCCTTGTCCTTATCTTTTTTGCCCCGGTTCATCTTGTGTCGGAAGTTCACTATTATACCCCAGTCGTATTCGTATTTTTCGGTTTTCACCTATAAAAATAATTACAAACGTTAAAAGTGCTAAAGCAAACTCAAGACGTGCTACTTGAACGTTTCGTTACTTCTGTCCATGAAGAGATGCGCTATAGATCAGCTGCAAGCGCGTGTATGAGGCGATGAAGTGCTCCTGCACAGTTAATGCGTCGAAACTCCTGCTGTCTCGCTGTACACCTACGAGAAAGAGAGAGATGCTCCGTGATTACCTTGACCAGCCTGCCCGGCTGCAGGAAAGGCTTGAGGTACTCCGGACGCGTGATAAAGGCGCGGAACTGCGCGCCCAAGAGATCCAGCTGCGAGCGCGTGCTACAGTACGAAGCGATGGAGTGCTCCTCTTGAACCATTAACGCACCGTGCTCCTGCTGTCTCGCTCTACGCTTACGAGAGAGAAAGAGAGAGACGCTCCGTGCTTACCTTGACCAGCCTGCCCGGCTGCAGGAAAGGCTTGAGGTACTCCGGGCGCGTGATGAAGGAACGGAACTGCGCGCCCAAGAGATCCAGCTGCGAGCGCGTGCTACAATACGAGGCTATGGAGTGCTCCTCTTGAACCGTCAGCGCGTCGTATTCTTTTTGCTTTGCTTTCACCTCTGGGAGAGAGAGATACATACATACTATTTAATGAAAATCGCCTCTATTGTTACTACATAAGGTGCTAGTGCTACAATATTGAGGACATGTTAAACTGATAATCACAAATAACACAGCAGGTTATAATGGCATACATAATAAGGTAGCAAAACTCTAAAATAACCCTGAAAAGTGAGTATTTTTTTTAATTTGTTGCATAATTTGATTATAAATGTTATCAATAACTTACTGTCTATGAGATCCGGTATGGCTGCCTGATTTTGGAACTGAAAGAAACTTCTTTCTAACATGTATTCTGGGTTGATCTCCTCCACTCTCAGTAGATTCAGGACCTAAAGAGCAAGTATAATTTAGCAAATTAAAATAGCTCGTATTATTTTGTAAAAAGCTTTCGTTTGTATAGATATCTTACCATATTGTAAGTGAGATGGAAAGCAGAATTGATAGGGTCAGCCTTGCCTTGTACCATGTTCTTAACAACACTCGGAGTGACCTTCTGGTCTATCATCAGGATGACGATACCCTTGTCGTCAAGTCCTCGACGTCCCGCGCGACCAGACATCTGGATATACTCGCCAGACGTTATCTGAATAAAAGTTTATAGTCAGTTAACTCTTTCTGTCTAAAGTGATTGAAAGAAGACAAAAATGTGTAAAATTTTTTCAACAATTTATTTGATGGTGGCTGAATAGTTGCCAGCTGAAGTTTACGAAATGAAAATAAGGTTCAATTTGTACGTCAGTCAAATGTTAGTTGAACATAGTATGTTGGACAGGTTTTCTACTTATAACTTGTGTTGTTATTCTAAGAGTTTCATTTTATATTGTCAACTTACATATCGGAAGTCCTTTCCGTCAAATTTCTGGCAACTGGTGAACACCACTGTTCTAGCAGGCATGTTCAAGCCCATAGCAAAGGTTTCTGTCGCGAATAGTGCCTAAAAATATTACCATCATTAAAAAAAATATTAACAATATTACAAAATTACTTCAATAAAGTATACCATACTTTTATAAGCCCAAGACCGAACAAGATCTCAATAGTCTCCTTGAGTATAGGTAAAAGACCACCATGATGGATGCCAATGCCGCGTCGCAGCAGAGGAATTACGTTTTCCACCTGAGGTAGCTTTCTATCTTCTTCTGAGAGAACATCCATTGCATTGTTGAATACTTCGTCCACTAATTTCTTTTCTTCAACTGTAACATAATTTTATGAATAAGCAAGTAATTTTGAAACCTAGCAAAGCTTAAACGTTTGTGAAATGATATAATAAATAAGTATTTCAAATTGGTAATGAGACTAAAAGATCAATTTTTTTTTCAGATCTATACTTACTTTTCTTTTTGTCACTTTTAAGATACAAGTTCGAAGCCGACTTCACGCAGCAGCAGCATGCGACGTGTAGCCGGGACATTTATTTTCATATTTTGATGATGCGTTATGCTAAAGCCTGGTCCGTGAGCACGTAGAATTTTGTCCAATGACCCCAAGCTACCCATCCTTATCGCTCGCGCGTAATTATATTGCTGTCGCGACTGTGCGACGGGCGCCCTCAGTGAGTGTGCGATGAGGATACTACCCAGCTTGGGGTCATTGGACAAAATTCTACGTGCTCACGGACCAGGCTTTAGCAACGGATGCTATTTTATAGAAATACACAAAAAGTAGTAGTGTCGCAACGACACGTCGTCGACTACGAAATCATAGCTTAATCCTATTTTACAATATAACTGACGATTATTTGGATACATCTCTGGGACAACGANAAGCAACTCTCAAACTCACTTGTATTAAAATCAAGCTTCGCCATCTGCATGGCATACGCCTCGCAGTCCTTCTTACTGAAACTGAAGATGATAACCGGCGCGAAGTTCCTCTCCATGATCATCTTGACGATATTGAATATATTCGTCTGGTTGTTGCCGCGGGGCCCACCGCGCCGCCCGCGTTGGTCTCCCTTGCCCGCGTCGCCGGCGTTGCCGAGCACCGCCATGGCTGTATTGAAGTTGTCCTCTTTGAACATGCCCTGAGGAAATGTTCACTGGTTTATTTGTGCTATGTTATTGATAGAGGTTTAAATTGGTCAAATCAAAACTGATGAAGTCCAGCAAGGGGAAGTTCATGGGTTCAATTCCCGCCTTAGACAGTTCGATTTTTTCAAGTTATTCATAATGATGAAGTCTTGTATAAATAACAAACATGTGAAGTTCAATTCATTGCAGTGTTGAAGTTTTTTTTTATGCAAGACAAGGCAGGTATTTGACCGCAATCGCACCTGATGTTAAGTGAGATGGTACATAATCTGCCCTGTAAGTGCCTATTCACACTCGCCTTGAAAAGGTTGTCAAGATGTCCTCTTTGAACATGCCCTGAGGAAATATTTACTGTTTTATTTGTGTGTTATTGATAGTTTGAAGTGGCTAAAACTGATGATGTCTTGTACAAATAACAAGCAAGTGAAGTTCAATTCAGGAATTTACGTTTGTTTCGAAATTTACCTGAAATTAGTCAAATGTAAGTTACTCGAGATAGCATTTTGGCTTCTTAAGTTAACTTTTGAAAAGTAAACTCTTATTAGATCTTTTTTAATCTGATATAATTAGATTTTTAGATTAACACTGTTTTGGGCTGCATAAATACTCCAAAATACAATTCAAGGTGGATTGGATTTTACAAATCATTTATAATAAAAAAAATTACTGATGAAGATCTATCATAAAACTCACCTTTTCATCAACAACCAGATGTATACCATCGCCACCAGCTGGGAATATGTAATGCTGTAGTGGCGTGGGTCTGTATTCGGTGTACACCACGTGGCAAGGCTGCGAGTGCAGCCGACAGACCCACTCGGCGAACTGACGCGCATTGGGGATCGTGGCAGACAGGAAAACGTAGTGCACATTGTCGGGTAGAAGAATCAATGTCTCTGTAATAAGAAATTAAAGAAATAGTTTGATTTAGATGAGCTAGATTCAAGTATTTACTTGTCACAAACAAGTTACTACCACAGTGTACAATAGTGGTATTATAAGACAAAATTTACTTAAGTTTTCTACAAACTACAAGAAAATTGTATATGTATAAAAGAGTTTACCTTCCCAGACAACACCTCTCTCTTTATCTCTCATATAATGGATTTCATCAAAGATAACCCAACCGACTTCTCTCATTACTTCTGAACCTCTGTATAACATGTTTCTTAAAATCTGAAAACAAATTCAACATAATTGAAATTTCAAAAACAAATCTTGTATTATGCCAGAAAAGTGTATATGTAAAATTTCAAATTTTTGTGAACATTATTTGAATTTAAACATTTTCTTATATTAAGAATTAGCTTTTACACACACAACACAATTAAAATGTCAATAGTGTTAAGATTGCAGGATATTGTGTAAAAATATTAATTTTAAATTATGTTCAGTTTTCTTACCTCAGTGGTCATAATAAGACATGAAGCTGATGGATTAATTGTTACGTCTCCGGTTATCAAACCTACATCATGGAACTCTTCCGAGAACTCTCTGTACTTCTGATTGGACAGAGCTTTTATAGGTGTTGTGTATATGACTCTCTGCTTATTCTTTAGAGACAGCGCTATGGCATACCTAGTATAAAAAAGTTTCAATTATAAATATATATTCGTAAATAATATAGAACAAAACTTGAGTAATGAAATAATTAAAAACAAAAGACTTACTCTGCCACCACTGTTTTTCCAGCAGAGGTGTGGGCAGACACCAACACAGACTGTAGGTTATCAATGCACAAGATTGCTTCCTTTTGAAACGGATCCAAAATGAAGCTGTACTGTTTGGCTGGTTCACCAGTGATAGGTACGAGTGCAGCATAATCATGGTTGGGTGGTATAGCCACCTCGTGCGTACAGCCTTCGTGGGTTTCCAAAGTATGAATTACTATCCGTGAGCTCAAGAGTTCTACACTACAAAATTACAATAACATTTTTATAGAATAGTCGATATTATATTTAAAGATACATTTTATGGCGTTGAAATGATGCTTTAAACAATAAATAACGTATCTCTCTTACTTTATATCACTGATCAACTCAGCATCATCTTCATCATTCTTAGCTCTCTTAGTTTGAGTGGTATCTGCATACTGCACCTCTTCGTGTGGTCTCTTGCTACTTACAGGTTCTACTTCAAGCTGACTATCTTCATTATTACTACGAAAAAGGAAGAAAAATACTGTAGTTTAATAAATCATACACCATTATGCATATTAGAGGTTAGGTTTACACATACGACTTATCCTTGTCCTTCGGGACATTTGGGAACTGAACTGCAGCTTCGTTCTGTTCACTTTCTTCAAAACAATCAAATAAATTGCCTATATCCGCCATAATTACTNCTTATGTGGAAACTTGTATGAATCGTTATTCAGAAGTTTAATTTACCAGAACTACAACAGTTATTTTTTTATCGATCGGAACATAAGTTTTTTACTGTTTCGCGGATTTACCCACAAACAATGCGTCCGTTCATGAAATGAATGACGTTGACGTTTGTTTTTTTTTTAATTTATTTCTTCGAAAACTAGGGAGGTGCATTGACCGACTCGTGTATATATTTTATATACATTACGATGATCTGATATTTATTAGAGAATTTTTAATCTGTACAATATATTTTTAGCAATGGCAACATTTGGTATGACTCAATGGTCACGTGATCATTCAAGAAGCTTGGGTTTACGATCAGTGGTGCCAGATTAGGCGAATTATCGCCATTTAGGCTACCTCTGGGGGTCAAATGGCGACCAAAAAATGCAAACGGCTACCGGTAGCCAATTAGGCTACCTAGAAAATAAGATCGGGCTATTTAGGCTAATTCAGGATTACCTTGGAAAAATAAATCCTAACCTAGTATTCCGTAATTCAGTTAGTTTTTTAAAATGACCCCTACCCCCTTTTACTACTCTAAAAAGTCCAAACTCCATACTAAATCCGTCAATTTTTTTCTAAGTGTCAGTTCCATACAAATTACGTTCGAAAACTCGGTTATTCGGCTAAGTCCTGCACCCTCTTTGCTACACCCTAACCGTACATAAATAATAATTATCAAAATCTGTTTACTTTACACATTACTGGTGGGCCAGCTGGTATTCTATACAATGCCTAGGAATTAAAGTATTTATTGAACAATAATATTTTAAACATTGCCTACGCGCCCCAGGCATTGATTTTACCCATTGACTAGGGATTGTATAGAATTCCTAAGTTATACAAATTGCCGGCATTGCCGCTAACACATACAATAAGCACACATTTACACGCAATATAAATACACAATTAAGAAAACAACATGGCGGCAATATAGGAAATGTGTGTGTGTGTGTGTGTGCGTGTGCGTGTGCGTGTGTGTGTAGTTGTCAGCTGATTGCCTATATTGCAGCCATGTTGATTTCTTGAATCTTGATACTCGGCACAAGTCAGGTAGTTAGTGACGTCACATAAAAATGTTGCCAGAATGAGTAGGCTGACCAAACATTATTATCTATCTCTTTTTTGTTAAGTTAGAAAGTTAGAAAGAGTAAGTAGTTCTGGTAAGTTAGAAAGACATAAACAGTGTTTGTCATTATGTGTCGATTTGATATGTATTTTTGTATACTTACCTCAAAATGTTAGGCGAATTAGGCTACTTCAGGAAAAAAAAATATTAGGCGATTTAGGCTACTCGGTAGGAAAAATTAGGCGAATTGAGTTGGCTGATAACTGGCAACCCTNTAATTACTATTAAAAACACTTTATTTTATCATTGCTCAGTAATACAAACAATGCGTCCGTTCATGAAATGAATGACGTTGACGTTTGTTTTTTTAAATTTATTTCTTCGAAAACTAGGGAGGTGAATTCACCGGCTCGTGTATATATTTTGTATACATTGCGAAGCGATGATCTGTTGCGCCGGGTAGTTATTAGAAAATTTTTAATCTGTACAATATATTTTTAGCAATGGCAACATTTGGTATGACTCAATGGTCACGTGACCATTCAAGAAGCTTGGGTTTACGATTTGATTGGTGCATTTCTGTGGATTTCTTCCGTGAACTCCGCTTGACTCGGTGTAGCGTGTGTGAAGATTATTTTTGTGCTTATTTTGTTTGCCGTGACTGAAAAACTTAGCTACAATGTCATCAAAAACAAAAAAGAGTGTAACATCTTCTACAAACATTAGTGTGGTGTCTTCAGTGCAAAGCCCACCGCAATCCAGCACTCCTGTTGGTAGCCGCCCTTCTAGCTCTGCCGGCCGGCCCAACAGTCCCCTAAGTCCAACAAGACACAGTCGTCTTCAGGAAAAAGATGCCCTCCAAAATCTCAATGACCGTCTGGCGGCATACATCGACAAAGTCCGTCAACTGGAAAGTGAAAATTCTGGACTACGCCGGGAGATCCAAACCACACAGGAGGTGGTTACCCGCGAGGTTTCCAATATCAAGGGAATGTACGAACATGAGCTCCAGGATGCCAGAAAATTGTTAGATGACACATCTCGTGAGAAGGCCAAATTGGAAATTGATTTGAAGAGGTTGTACGAGGAGAATGACGATCTGAAGAAGCGGTATGTTTATTTTTACTTTTACTCCTTTACTTCATTTCATGATATTTAATGTAAATATCTTGGTAGCATTGGTAATTCCTTCCGGCTAACCTTACCGCGAAGTTTACGTCATCGGCGGCGTTTCGGTGCGGGCGCGGTGACGAGCGTGCGACCTCGCTTTTACGACACAGTGACATCATAGCTAGATTTAACTGAACCAATCACAGGAACTACAAGCTTCTCAAGACACATAATAATACATGACAATTTATTTTACCCACAGGTGTAGGTACATCTACTAACAGGTGTTTGTAAACAATGTGAATCTCTGTTTACATCTCTTTAATTTCTCTCTATCTGTAAACCATTATCTTAACCCACTGATAATGATCTTCTTATCATTTGTCACTCTGCCTGCTCTGTAAATAAACTGAACATTTTTGTTATAAATATGAAATAACGTAAAAACATTTTATAGGTACATACAATAAAATACCGACCAACCTAAATAAAAATCTATTTATGTCAAGGTGAGGTGTGTTGTCATAATCATTTTAACCTCGTAAGCCCGGATGTGCCACAGAAGGAACTAAAACTTTGTAGTCAGTAACGCCGAGACATTTTCGGAAGTGATTTCGAAGTATCGCCGGATGTGCCTTTNACAAATTATTCGTTCTTCTAAAAGCACATTCGGCGATACTTAGAAGTCGACAAAATTTACTCTTCGGTCTTACGAGGTTAAGATACAACGGAGCCCCATTATCTGAATTTCAAGTTTCTGTCTAATGAGAATGACACTTACTGTATCAGTTTAATTATTTTCAGTTCAGGAAGCGACTTTCTAATTAATTCTGTTTATCACCAACCTTTTTTGAAGCCAAGCAACAAGGTTAAATGTTTGTTGTTCATTTTAAAAACCAATGTGATGATATAGTAATTTAATTTAATAAATGCATGATCACTTGTACCTTAATTCACAACTGGGCAAATCTATGTAATTTTAGTTTTAAGTTCTGTTTTCCTCTAAATTCTTGCTTATATAATTTTAAGAATCCCAACACATTAGGCTTTATATTTCTATTGCAAAATCATGTTTATACAACTACGAAAAATAATCTATACTAATATTATAAAGCTGAAGAGTTTGTTTGTTTGTTTACTTGAAAGTGCTAATCTCCGGAACTACTGGTCCGATTTGAAAAATTCTTTCAGTGTTAGATAGCCCATTTATTGAGGAAGGCTATATGCTATTACAACATCACGCTAGGATCAATAGGAGCAGAGCAATAATGAAAATTGTTGCGAAAACGGGTTTTCACATGTACGAAGTCGCGGGCACAGTTAGTTACCTTGATATACCTTTATATCATACTTACTTTATTAGTTCCTCATTTAATAATATCTATAGGATTCCAAACATTTGTCTGCTATCTTGATATTAACCTTAAGTATGGTATTGTCTTATCATTGTTATTTTGCTTTGTATAATTTGAGATTAATGCTGAATGTTAACCTTGACTCACTTTTTGTCTGTAATTAGTGGTGTCAAGTTTGCACATACAACTGTCCATTCATATTAGAAACCAAGCAAAAAATATTCTCACCATTCAATGTGGAATAGTTATCATGTCTTTAACAAAATGTTATTATTTCTTAAGGTTTTTTAGTAATCAGGTGTGGTCATTGCATATTACAAGGTCAATAAACTCTCGAACCCGATTTGCCCGCATCAACATTGGAACATGAGCGTATGGTACTTTTTGCAACCTTATACCTTTGTATTAAGGTTCACACAACTGTCAAACGTAAGTTTTCGAATGCCGAGCCGGCCGAATCGGGTTCGGGCTGTGCTGAAGGTTTTGTCGTGGGCGGGTATTGAACATGAACACCCACCTTATTTTTTTCTAATGAATCTGAAACATCGTTAAAGGTTTTTGGAAGCCTCTTTTCTAAATTCTTATTTAGCTCCTAGGACGTGGCATAGACCGACACACGGTGCTCTATAAATATGCAATAAAACGGAACCCCTCTCGTGATCACTGATCCCCCACATTGCATGCTATATTTACCTAAGATAACATTTTGCACATGTTGTTCACCATCTAAGAACACCTAATGTTATTAATCTCATCCTTATTGTATTTTAAGAAGGAGTAGTTTAAGGAAACTAACAGCAGAGTTTCAACTTACGGAGCTTCGTTATTTACTTTATGTTCGAGGATTTTATTACGTACCTACCAGTTGTGTGGGCTCAATTTTCGAATTTAGAGACTTACGTCATGATCATTGGTATTCTGAGTATTTAACCTTGAAGTTCGGACTAATATTAGGAGCTTACTTAATCGCATCGTAGGTACCGGCTGGACAACAGTGTCGTCACACTCGACATCATCGCACCCAAACCGAATGTTTGCGTAAGCAAAGTTAACGCGCGCCGAAGCTAGCTGGATCAATAGTATTTTTGTCCGTCTTGCCATAAGTTATTTTTGACTGCCGACTATGGGGCGCAATATTTGGAAGTGGGTCACCCGACTTCCCCTTTCTCTTTAATTTTCGTTGATCACGCATTGCCCGCCGTAAATGTAAATCGGCCAAGGCCCCATGCGGGCTCGCGGCCCCCGCGATGCGATACGACGTCGTTCGTATCACGGGAATCGGGTGAATTTGAATTATTTTGGAGCAGCTGGCGTGGCTTAACGTGGACATGCTACCGAGCAACAGCACGCGCGGGAACCGGATAGAGCGCAGCGGCGTGTTTACAAAAACATTCCGTGTGTCGTTGCGCAACACTAGTTAGCGTTGCTCATAGAGACGATTCGGGTTTGCCTCGCGCCGATGTCACGGTTGAAAGTTTACAATAACTTGACCCTCTTTTTATGTATGAGTTTTAGCCGGAGGAAAACAAAACCAAAATTAAAGAATTCTAATCTAATCAGAGGTACCTACTAAAGTTATAATTAATGTTATTACTACTTTACTAGACATTAGAAACTTTCCACAATCTTAATATCCATCCATAATTTTTCAGACTAGACAAAAAGACCAAAGACTGCACACAGGCAGAGAATCTGGCGCGTCACTACGAGACCCGCTTCACAGAGGAAAGCAACAAATACAACACAGCACTTGCTGATAAGAAGAAAGCTCAAGATGAAGCCAGAGTAAGAAATTATCTTTAATCTACTACATTCTACATGTTACTATCTCGCCAATCGCCATTCAATCCACCCCCTTATTTAAAATACAGACAGTATTGCCTCTTTTGCTGGTTTTGACAGTAACTGCCTCATTTTTAGGGACTGACAAAAACATTTGCAACTAAATAGATACTCACACAAACCACGTACTCTTCAATACTAATTTCTGTTATTCCCAAAGGAACTGGCCAAAGAACTGGAGAAACTGCGCAAGGTGTACGCCGACACGCGCAAGACTCTGGAAGAGGAGATGCTTTGCCGCATCGACATGGAGAACACGGTGCAGAGCCTCCGCGAGGAGCTGTCGTTCAAGGACCAGGTGTTCCAGCAGGAGCTTCAGGAGACCCGCACCCGCCGTCAAGTGGAAATCTCCGAGATTGGTGAGTAGATTGACTATATTATATTTAAAACTTTGACTCAAGGAACCCCCTGAAGTTAGGATGATCGTGAAAAAGTATACAGAACCTCCTGAAATAAGGGAAGCTGGGCGACTTCTTGAAAGAAAACAGGCAATCTTTTCAACTACAATTTTCAAACCCTTCAAGCCCCGCGAATAGCACACAACTGGAGAATACAATCCCGAGCATGTTTTTCGATCCCGGGATTACGGGATTTTTAATGGGTAATCCCGGGACTATCCCGGGATCAGCCTTATGTGGAAATTGGGTTCGATCATTGGAAATGTTGTGATAGGGAAGGTAATACGATAGATAATAATACAAAGTAATAAAAACTACCTGTCATAAGGGCATTTTATGGAGAAAGGAGACTGGGCGAAAGTGGTCCGTGAACCAATAGCGACACTTGTGTTATTTATGTAGGGATACCTCAACTACCCACCCACCCGAAAGGGCATCAAAATCTGACCCGGCAGTTTTGAGAAAAAAAGCAGCAAAGCTCTAAAATATAAGAAGCTAGTAAAACAACTTTTATTTTTCATTTGATATATTTTATTTATCAATAATAGTAGTCTAAAAATTCAGCTGGACGTAATATACCTACATTCTTCAAACCTAACCCAAGACAGATACCATATTATTGTCATAATGTGACTGCAGCATCCTAGAGTACGCATGCCAGATTTGCATGTGCAA